AAGTTTGTAGGAGAAAAGTAAGAAAATATATTCTCCAATCTGAGGATCTATTTGCATGGGGACCACAGAAGGAAAGGAAAAAGTAAACAGCTGACTCAAAATACCGAAAACCTGTGTTGATCTATCACCAGATGGAAAGTAAGACTTGTCTGAGGAAATTGCAGAATAAGTAACACCAGTATCTATGAGAAAAATTAATAATAAGTTAGCCTGAGGGAAAGTTGTTGAAATGTATATATCACCAGTTTCCAGCTCTGAGATTCATTTAATCTGTCAATTTTAGGTCATTTTCAAATTATTCCCTAGCCTTCTAGGTTTTCCTGATTCCTTCCCCCCCCCCCCCCCCGTTATTTCTATATTCTCTGGAGTCTTTTTTTTCCCCAATCCCTCTTTCAAGTCCTTGCTTCTTGCAGTAATGACATAAGGTTTTGTCTTTTTCCTTTGCTCTTTTTATAGGTTAGCCCAAAGTGAGTGTTATTTCCTGTAGGAAATATTATAACTGAATAATTAACAGTCATTTTAATTTATTTCTTTCTTCTTCATATTTTTAGACCACTCTAAAACTAAGTAGATGCTGCTAAGATTTGAGTCTGTGCTTGCCATCCTCACACCTTTTCCCTAACTTGAGTCTGGATAGTCATCAAGGGACATAAGACAACAGTTCTGAACTTAACCCGAATTCATGCCAGGAAATTCTGAGAAAATCTCAACAAATTGTTAATGGAAATTAGCAGAAACTGCCTGTTTTCTGTACAGGCAGTTTTCTGTACTGCCTGTTTGCAGTTTTGCTCAGCTCACTTTTAGAGGAAAGGCTTCAATACAGCTATGAGCAATCCCTTTGAGTAGGTCTCCAAATCCCTTAGCTCTCTCTTAGTTGTGGAGGATGACAGACAGTTGTCTGTACCTTGATTGATGCATTGAGTCGTCTTCTGGTCCCCAACATGCCTGCTCCATCAAGCGAGAAGAGTCTGCTGGTTGCAGAATTCCACACTGCAGCCTGTGCACACCCTCATGCATGGGGCTGTAAACTGAAATCATACTGCAGAAGACTTCTGCAGACTTTTGGGAATCAGGGAAAAGAATCTTTTATTTGAGCAACAGCAGCTAGCAAGTAGGCTTGCATAACTTCTCAGCACAGCTTCCTTGGTGACCAAATAGGAAGAAATGATTTTCCTCACATCATGACAATAAAACGTAGCATTATATGGATTTTCGCTTCCTTCCCATGTTAGTATTTTTCAACCTAACACTTTTTTCATCTTTTTCTACATGACTAGTGAAGTTGAAATCTGTCACCTTCTTGTGGAGACAATCTTTTTTTTCTAATTTCTCAAGTATTCCCTAATCATGATCCTTTATACTTTCTGCTTTCTTAGATACGTGGTATATAGATGACAAGGGACTTTTGGGAGTAGAATACTAAATCACTGAGCTTGCTCAGGGTTCGGACATGAGTCACACAACTCTGTATCCTCAAACAAATCAGGTAATTTATTATCAACTAAAGAAACTGTAGCTTTGTCATTCTTTGTACAGAAATCCAGTGAGAAAGAGAACCACATGACCAAAGGACGATTGCATCCCTCTTTCCAGGGGGTCTACTGAGGCAGGGAAGGATAAAGAGACACAGGGGAAACAGAGGGAGTCAAGACAGCAGAAGAAGGGAGAAGATGATTGATTCAGTGAAAGTGCCCTTAATTTTTACATTTCCATTTCTATTCTTCTCAATCTTCTCTTCTGGCTATACAAATTATTTTTAACTTTTCTCTTAGAATGGTATCCATTCAATAAATACAAGCAATTCATTATCTCAGAATGAGGTCCTTCTAAGAACCCTAAGAAATTTTGAAAGACTAAAATGCATGTCTGTTCTAAATGTAACAGAAAAATACTAGCTGCTGAAGAGAAAAAAAACTGCAGGCAAAATTCCTGTCTTCTCCTATTTTTTTTTTTACAATCAAAGTTAATTGTGATATTGATGGGATTTGAGTCCAAATTACATGTTTACTTATTAATAAAATTTGAATTTAATGAAGATAGTCATCCAAGTACTATCCCAAAAGAGCAGAGCATTGGAAAGGAGACTTTATAATTCAGGATCTTTTATATGACTGCTATGGGGCCAGCGGACCTTCAGTTCCATCTGCTCAATTCAAGAGCTGCCATTCATATCACTTGTTCTTCACCAAGGGGAAGTATGGTTAAAAATGAAATCTTCTGCCAACCTAGTGAACTGTCTAGACAAAATGTAGAGAAAATGAGCAGCATACCCATCTCTGCAAAAACTAATAAATAAATAAAAAACTTAGTTGAGAATGATGGCTTGTGCCTGTAGTTCCAGCTACTCAGGAGGCCAAGGTGGGAGGATTGCTGTAGGCTGAGGCCAGGAGTTTAAGGTTGCAGTGAGCAATGATGACACCACTGCACTCTAGCCTGGGTGACAGAGTAAGACCTGGTGTCTTAAAAAAAAAAATAGGAAAAAATGAAAGATTTTTTCCATTAAATAAAGATTAAGACAGACTGTGATATGCATCATAGGATATCTCTAAGGATATTGCAAAAAAAGAGAGAGATAATATATAGCCAGGCTTATACAATCCATTACATACATGTTAATTGCCCTTATCAAAAGGAAAAATAAAACATTTTCTGTCTTTCTGACAAGGTGCAGGTTACACCTTGGCACCTCATGGAGCCAAGTGCCTAGGCTTTAGCTCCCACAGAAACATAGAGACAAAGTATCATTCTCTTAATGATCACATTTCAAGGAGGTGGCTCCCAGGCTCCAGGAAAGAATTCCTGGGATGCATAACTAGCAATAATCTTATTTAACTTTTCAAAAGTTCTACATACATCTAAAATAAACAGAGAACTTATAATTTCCAGTTTTCTGTAACATACTAGGGAGAAGTGGGGGTGGACTTTTATTTTTTTAAACAGGAATGAAATATATTTTAATTATTTTTTTAAAAAATTATATATACCCGTACACCAGCAATGAGTTGGAAATTAGGTAAAATCAGAACAATAAGAGAGAAAGTTCACAAAAGATCAACCTAGCTTACATGTGTTAGTTGTTCATATGACCTAACAAAATACCATTCCAGAGGTTTCAGGCTGATCAAACAACTCAGAACTGAGAAGTATATAAGATTTAATAAAGAAGAATAATTGAAATTTTTCAGAAAAACAATTTTTACTTTGAGATAGTTTGTTGGCACATTTGATTTGGTGTCACCGACATGCGTGCCATATAGACTTAAGCTCTCATACCCATTTCATAAAGGGTCTACTTTACTTTCTGACCTGCCTCCGAGCTTGACTTCTTGTACTTGCCCATTAACCTGCATCTTCCTCTCTACTTTAGATCAAAATGCTAGTACCAAGAACGCATCAATTTGAAAGTTCATGTGCCAGAAAGTTTAATTGAAGATGTTTCAAGTGATAGGATGTGTGCATGTATAAATAGACACTTGTGTATGTGTGCGTGTTTTATATTATGATAATTTTTTATTTTATTTGGCAGAAAGAAAATGAATATAATCTAAAGTGCCATGATGTTTTATAGTATCCTACGTCTCACAATGTTCCCCAATATTATATATAATCCCATAATTAAGTAACACGGTTTTATCAAGTTTCTCTGTGATAGATTCTTATAAATTTTGTAGCACTGAGCACTGGTGTTTAGCTGTACTGCAAGTGGAGTTTTCTGATGTCATTTTAACAGTGTTATTTGTGACTAGTGATCAGGGTTTTGCTGTCATGACCACTTTGAGACTGTGGTCATCCATGCTGCCCTCTGCTGGTCTAATTTGTAGCCACTCTCCAGGAGACATCTTTTTTTTTTTTTTTTTGAGTTGGAGTCTTTGTCGCCCAGACTGGAGTGCAGTGGCCGCTCCCAGCCCCCGCAGCCTCGACCTGCCGGGCTCCGGCGATCCTTCCGCCTCAGCCTTCCGAGTAGCCGGAATTACAGGCGCACGCTACCACGCCCGGCTGATTTTTTGATTTATTGTAGAGATGAGGTCTCGCTGCCTAGGCGGGTCTCGAACCCGCGGGCTCAGGCAATCCATTCACCTCAGCCTCCCAAAGGCGCAGGATTACAGGCTGAGCCACCGAGCCCGGCTAGGAGACATCTTTTTAATGCTCTCTTAAGAGTGCCCTTTTTATTATGAAAGGAAACGTTGTACTTTCCTGATGTAATTTCCAGCAGTCTTCATGATTTAGCATTAAAGTAGACAAACATTCAGTACTTCTTCCTTCAAAAACCTATCTTTTCTGAGGGTAATTTAGAATCTCCTATCAATATGGGCATTTACTCTTCAGTTAGTCCATTCCCCGCCCCCCTTTCTATTCCTGATAGACTTTTCCTCCCAAGGTTTTATTTACTTTTTTGCTTTCATCCTTTGTATGATCCTTGGCTTCAGTTCAAATATGTGAGTGCAATATTATTAATGACAGAGGAAACATGAAGTAATTTCCCTTCTTATGGCTATAAAATTGTACATTACAATGAGAGATTATTAGTGCATAGATTCAATTATGCTGCATCAAATTAGTAACATATTCCTTTAAGTAAAATGACTTACAGTAAAATATATATGATAAGGGCAGCCTATAATATAGGTGCTATATTTTAAGGCCTGTGTACTTGACATTAGTATTGTAAAGAGTTAGATTATACTCCTTACCAGTGTGTCTGTTATTTTGCACAGTGAATACTCTTAACAATATTCTGTAGTACAGCATTCTGTAAAATTTGGCAGGTTGAGATAACTATATCTAGTTGAACACATAAAGTGGTTTTTTAAAATAACCTTCATCACTAAATTGTTTAGTTTTTTTTCTTTTCTGTTACGTCAATATATAATCCAGTAAGTTTACCTGAAAATTTTTTGTTTTTCTCTAGTGAAGCATTGTCAAACCCATTTGTCTCATAATGTGCATGCAGAGAATGTTTTAATAACTCATCTCTCTCTTTCTGTCCATCTCATTCTTAGGCTGACTGGGAGCTTTGTACCAGACTTGATAGTGAGCATGAGTAGCCAAATGTGGCTGCACCTTCAAACAGATGAAAGTGTTGGATCTCTAGGCTTCAAGGTCAACTACAAAGGTAATGATCAATTGCAACTGTAGGAAATATGTTATCTTAGGGCCACCAGAAAGAATATTTTTAAATTCAAGTTTAATTGCGTCTACAAAATAAAAGTTTTTCATAACACAACCAAGAAACATTCTAACAGATTTTCTCTTTAATTTAACTATGAATGTTGATTTATCTTACCTTTATATAAAATTAGTTTTTCCTTTAAAATGTGTCAATTTTGTATATTTGTATACATAAATTTCTCATATTTCTCTCAGTCCATTGAACTATCCCTGTGTTTCAGTCACTGTAGATTCCTAGCCTTTCCCAGAACAGACCATGCCACTTCATACACTTTTAATCAGTTTCCTGGCAAAAAGAAAATGAACTAGTTATTAAATAGCTAAATATGAAAGTATAGAACCTAAATCCCCTAATATTCCAGGGTAATTCTTTTGTAATCCATCAGTTATGTAGACTATAGGCCAAAAATCTGTGAAATTGCTACTGTCCACCCGAGTGCTGGAAAAGACACAGAATAATTATTAATTACATGTGTATAACAAAATACTCTGTTTTGGTTTTATGTATTGGAGATAGATGCAAGCCCTTTGAAATCATGAATATCTTTAACACAGGTTGAACCTCAATTAAAAATATATATATATGTACAGTGTACTTAATGGAAATGAAAATTTGCAATTTTGACTGAAAAAATACATGCCAATAAATTCAAATAGAATCTATGCTTTAAAAATGAAAACGTAAAAGAGATCATCAGAATGTTATGCTGCTTGAATTTGTTTATATAACTACTGTGATAAAAATCATCATTCTTTACCTTATCAATTAAACAAGACTGTGAAAAATATTTTACTTGCATAATAATGATTTTTAATCAGAGTGTTCTCTTATACACACTGGCATGCTTTTGTTTGGACACATAAAAAAACATGCGTGATGTCAGGGAGACAAGACACATTCATTCTGTGTTTTTTAAATTGTGACTGAATTTGGCATTATGGTAGTTTGAATTGTTCAGGAAATCTGTATAAATGTCAGGTTTACCTTTTTTAAAAAGGTTAGAAGGTTAGCCTGATTATAGTTTTTAATATATTCATCCTCAATTTAAAATCCACGTCTATTTTCCCAGTAAATAAAACAAGGTTAGACTGACGTGATGGCTCACATCAATAATCTCAGAGCTTTGAGAGGTGGAGGCAAGAGGATTGCTTGAGGCCAGAGGTTCAAGACCAGCCTGGGCAACTTGTCGAGCCTTTATCTCTACAATAAATCAAAAAATTTGCTGAGTGTGGTGGTACGCCTGTAGTTCCAGCTATTTGAAAGGAGGAGGCAGAAAGATTACTTAAGCCTAGCAGGTCAGAGTTGCAGTAGCTGTGAGCGTATCACTGCACTCCAGCCTGGGAGACAGAGTGAGACTCTGACTCAAAAAACAAACAACAACAATAGCGAAAGAAACAAAAACAGCAACAACAAAAACGGAGTTTCAAAATTTGAAGAACAGTCAATTTATGTTGCAAGTATCTATTTTTGGGGTATCTTTTTTCATTTTTCCCCCTTTAAATGGCTGCATGAACCTGGAATCCTTATATTTCTCTTGTTTTTATGTTCTTCACCCTATGAAGGTTACCAGCCAGAAAATCTTTAGTCATTTAAACCTTTGAAGTTATATTAATCATTAATGATGATGCTCCACCAAGAAACACAGTTATTAAAACTCATGAACAGGTAGGAGCAGCAGGAGAGTTGTATCTATACTTACACAGCTCTTTCTCTGTTGCAGTTCAAGAGCGGGAAGTACATTGTAAAGTCGCACAATTAAGCAGTATATTGCTCTATTTCTGCTGTTTCAGCAATAGTAATTTTTTTAAAATTTCCCTAGGATCTACATATGTTATATACTGCATGAATTGTCGAATATGGAAAGAACATCCAGATACTATCTCTTTCAGGAAGATCATAATACAATGATAGATAATATAGTGTATACAACCATTCATATACAAATATTCACAGAGATGAGAAATTTGAAACCAACACAAGAAATTCTAAATGAATAGTGCCCCAATTTTTCTCCTTCTTTTCAGTCTTACTTCCTCTGGGCTAACCTACGCATTATTAAGGGTGATCTTCCTGCATCAGGGGAGTGATCATATTACAATCCTGATTAAACTCTTTCTCTACATTTTTCTTGTCCAGAGTTAAATTCCAAAACCTCCACAGATTTTATCCTCCAGCTTGCACCATTCTGCTTTTGTCTTTCCCTAAATTCCATTTGCATCAAACTATTCACAATTCTGTGAATCCAGCTAGTCGTTTCACACCTTTGCCTCTTTGGACATTCGGTAAATTCTATCTAGATCACTATTCTAACTCAGTACCTCCCCACTCATCCTTCAAGATAAAGTTCAAATATTTACTCTTCTGTGAGGCCTTCCTTAACTCTACTCACCACAGAAGACCCACTTCCTCTCTTTTATAAAGTCTGTACCATACATACTGTATAACCAGATAAGGAATATGTCTTGCTTGTTTTTGTAGTTCCAGTAGTAGCTTCCTTGCTATGGCATCATAGATAATTAACAATTACTTATTCAAATTAGCTGAGTAAGTGATTTGACCTATAAAAATGAGATAATAAACGGCAAAATATGTCCTCAAAAGTTTAGTTTACCATGATGTTTTTTCTACTGTGAAAATCACGTTTTTCCATTCTTCATAATTTAAAACCTGAGCTCAAGGTTGAAGTAGGGTTTATTTTGAGAAGTTTCAAATTTTGATGTGCGCATAGCTTCAGCAAGTTCACCTACTAAAAATAATTTTCATAATTACCATGCTCTCTGTTGAGTAGTGTGTTGGTTCTAAATGGAACACCTGCTAAAAACCTTTCCAGGTTGATCTAAAGATATCTCCTTTTACTGTCATCTGTAGATTTTGCATGAGATAGCATTAAATGCAGATTCCTCTAAATTAAATATATATATTATGTAGCTTGTCTCTTAACATTTGTCTCTTGTTTGACATTTTAAACAAGACTTAAATATGTAATTTTGAACTTGATTTTTGCTGTGTATTTTTATTCTTTTTAAAAATTATTTTATTTAAAAATGTGGGTTACAAATGAGGTTTAGGTACATATGTGGTCATCATACAATTAAAGTGTGGGTACCTTTATTGATGTTATATGCCTCCCCTGGCAGTGTCCCACTACTGCCAATCCCTTTCTTATGGTATTATAATAAATGTTCAAGGTCCACTTATGAGTGAGTACATGTGGTACCCAGATCTTTGTTTCTGTGATAATCACTGAGTATTATACACAGTTCATAATTTTGTTTTTCTTTATGGCTGCATAATATTTCATAGTGTAAATGTATCACATCTTTTTATCCAGTCCTTAAATTGTTTTGCTAATTACCTAAAAGACTATTTTTGAAACTTGATTTTAAAGAAAATAAGGTTTGAAGTGAAGTTTTTGTTAGAAATTCAAAATAGAAAAAAGATTAAAATTTGGGCTGTTCTGGTGAAATGGAGATGAAAAGAAGTCTCGGTACCCCCAATTGGTCAGACTGTTTCTCTTTCCCTCTGAATGTAGGAAGGCCCCTAGAGCTCCAAAAATCTTATTTTGAAAATGACTGTTCTGTACTATTGATGAAGAGACAAAAAGTTATCTGTAAATATAAAATAATACATAATTGCCTAATAGCATTGTCATTAACTTAAGAATTCCTTCTTTAATCTGTGGAACTATCAGTGTTTTGTTTTGTTTTTTCTATACGGTTTGATTTGTGCCTCTCTTAAAATATAAAAAGACAAAAAATGCTGCAAATTAAGAAAATAGTCTTTTTTTCAGTGCAATTCATTTTTACTCAATTAGGATTCCTTTAATGTTCATGTACATGGCACATTACTAACATGCAATAGCAGAAGTGGTTAAAATACCACAGAACTCTTGAGAAGTTAATGATATTCCTAACTTTGTAAAATCAATAACATCTATGTTTGTTATAACAAGTCATGGTCATCCTGATTCATAGGAGATGTTTGTGTTTCCAAAACTATAATTCAAGATGTGACACTAGATGATTCTGCTGAAATGGAAAAATAGCATAGAGATCCACCTTGTCCCATTAAACTTTGTGGCATTAGTTTTGTTCGCTTGTTTTTATACTGTCATTATTTTAAATAAGTATTAATCAGAATGGAAGAAAAAAAGATGGTTATTTCCAATGGACACTTTAGCATCCATTAACACTGTACTACCTTTTGGATAAACTTTCTTTTCATTTTATAAAGCCTAAGGAACATTAAAGTGATAATCAACAATTACTAAAAGACTTGTATGTTCAAATTATTTAGCCTACATTAACAAATTAAATCTCATTAGAACAGCAAGAGGTAAGGATTATTACTTATTTTTACACATGATAAAACTGACTAGGATGTAAAGACCGTGATAAGAGGAAGTTTGTTCTGTTTTGTTTATTGCTGTAATCCCAGAACCTAGCACAGTGATTATAGTAGGCACTCAGTAAATATTTGTGGAAAGTATGAATGAATCTATGAATGAATAAACATGAGCATTTGATCATTAACATATTGCAGATCACAGTTGCAATTCTAAATTTGTTGACTTCATTATTTTTTTGCATTCTGCAATAGTGCATCCTAGGTGATCTTAAGAGGGTTTAAGGAGCAACAGCTGGAGACCCTAATCAGCATGAAGAACATGAGGACACCAAAATATTGAGTTAAATTACTACACTTATTGTCTCTGCCACTACACATAAAAATAGAATGTATGCATATGCATGTGTATACACACACACAATTTTAAAATGCCTGATTTCAATTAGGAGATGTTTGTATTTTTAATCTCCATGTGGTTACTTGGTATTATTTAAGAATATTTAGTGAGAAATCTTAAAAACTCATGGCAGAGGCATATAAAAAAATCCCCAGCCTTCACAGAGTTCTAAAAGTGATAATGTCTCCTCTTTTTAGAAATTAGAAATTATAATTATTGGCTTAACTTTCAGCTATATGATAATGCACATCCTCAAAAATGTCATATTAATAACTGACATTTATTGAATGGTTACTAGTACCATGTTTTGTAAGCACATGTATAGTCTCATTTAATTACTGCAACTCTATAAGATAGGTGTCCCTACTGTATAAATGACATAATTGCGTCACATCAGGTTAGGTAATTTGTTTAAGATCACATGGCTAGTAAGTGACATTATATGATTTCCAGCTCTGTCTTTAAGAAAAATGATATTATTTCCACAAATCTTAGCTGCAATTTAAATATATTTAGACATTTAAATTTTGAAATAGCTCTCAACTAAA